ATGTGGATGCAGTGTATGTACTGTATATACCCCATGCACGTTTGAGAATATTTTTCATTTTAAAAGAAAATATATCAATGTAAAGAAAAAAAATGTCAGCTGCAAATAGAATGTTTTTTATAACTAAATTTGTAAAAAGATGTTAAAGCTAGTTTTGCTATTGACAAAAAAGAAAATAAGACAGCAGTTATTTTGGTGTATTAATAAAAGAAAGGAGGATTTTTCATTTAGGATTTAGTTTAGCATGGGCATCATTCCCTATGGAGAAAACAAATTTATACTTCTTATTTTAAAGCAATTTTCTCTATGAATTTTAATTTTATATAAATTGATAGGTTCAAAATAGGTTTTTTAATGCATTTATCTCGCAATTTAAATAAGCTCTATAATCTCAATTGTAATTTGTGATATTAAACATTGCTTTTATAACCAATACAGTGTATGCTGTCACAGGTATACCTTTAATATCAACCAATGCATTTTAAATAGAAAAGTATACAGGGTTCTAGGTAAATTGTTTATTATGAAACTTTAAGCTTCCTACTGATATAAAAAAAAACACGTATTTTTTAAAAGGCTTTTTAGAAATATGTAAAATTGTAAAAAAAAAAAAAAAAAAAATGTGATAACCATCTGCATCCCCTATATTTTCAATTTAGAATTAAATATGTTCTAAATGCTATAGTTTTTGGTGAATAGTCCTTTATTTTCCTCATTAATTTTAATTTGACAGCTTAGGACTTAATATAAAATGAATCAAGCTGTTTAAATTATACCGGAAATTGGTGACAGTTTAGTTATTTTTATCTAAATTAACATTACTACTAAATAAAATACCACAAACATCAAAAAGTGTTAGAATAATTATTGTTTTGTATTAATCTTGATGATTTTGATATTTTATTAACAGCGCATAAATCCAAGCATCGGTTTAATTTTGTTGAATAACCGGAAGTGAGTTCAGTGACTTCCGGCGTTAAAATTAAACCTTCCAGCCTCTAAAATCCAAACCTTTAAAGGCAGGAGCCTCGTTGTTTCTATGGCAGCTGCACCTTTCTCTGACTGTAAACCCACAACGCTTTAAAAATTCCGCCTAAAAAGAAGAAGCGTTCTTGTCCCTGTTTTGGGTCTTCAGCCAACGTAAGTACCGTTAGCTAGTTCCACCGCTAGCTTCCTGTTAGCATGCTGCTTGCTAAATGAGGCGGGACATGTTACCGTGCGGGGAATGCATCTGCATACTTTAAATTCTACTGATAGGATTTTAATAAAGGTAATGATTGTTTACAAATGTTTTAAAAAACAGATTTTGAATAAATATATTTATTTCGCTAAGAGTTTTGCATGTAGCTTTATGCTAATTGCTGATAAATGAGAGCAGAGAGAGTAATAACATATCAGTCCATGTTTTATTAAGGAGGTAAATCTTTTTCATACAATGTGTCCAGAAAATTCAGCTTTTAGGTTGAATGTAATCAACTATAATATATATATTTTCCAGGTTTAACCTCATTATAATTTTTTCTTTATTATTTAAATATTTATTATTTAAATAACATGCTGCTGTCATTTTGCACATCTCTGATGTTGCTGCTATTTTCAAATATCCATTACTGTAAAAATGCCAATAGCTATATATTGGTTATTTATTCTCCATGTGTAAAAACACTTTACAGTACAGTATTCTGTTTATTTCTGTAACTCCTCGCTATTCTGTTATTTTTAAACGCTTTTCTAAGGTCGACATTTGTGTGACCATTTTTTTCTATCATCTTTTTGCTGCTGTAACACCAGAATTTCCCCATTGTGTGACAATAAAGAGATTTTCTATTCTGTCCTGTTTTATTATCATTTCTCAGAGTCGATCATGAGCAAATGTTTGATTCTGACATCTGGCCAGTAAAAGTTTACCTCTGTAATTACCAGTTTATTATTGCAGACAGACTGTTATAGGGGTACTTAGACTTAGTTGTATTTTATTTAGTCATTTTGTATACACAAGTGTAAACACAAAGAAATTTCGTTAAGTATAGCTCTCTAGACTATTTCATTTTTTAAAGCGCAGGTAAGCAGCAGTGATAAAAACATTGTGATGAAAAAAAAGGGATGTAAACATATGACTGTAAAGTTACAGTTGCAACATTTCAGGTTTTTTTTTATTTTATTTTATTTTTTATTATTATTATTGTTTTTATTGTACCTTGGTCAGACTTGGGTATTTTTGCGTTGTTGTGCAAACAAGGACGGACTTTATAGGACCCATTTTATTTATGTTGGTATGTATTATGCTGTAATTTCTATGTTTCTTTGAAGTTTATTCTGAAAATCTTTTATATGATGCTGTTCATTCCCCCGCCAGTAACTGTTTTGTCTGTGCTCTGTTCTCATGTGGTTCTTTGCAGGTGTACAACAACTACCCTGAGGATCTAGGGGCAGCTCTTTACAGAGAGCAGTTTGACTTCAACGCCGAGCCGCCTTGGGATCCTAGCTGATAGCGGACGAGTTCCTCACAGGACTCCTCCGTGTAGGTACATTAGGAGTCAAATCCTCTTATTTTAGTCAGAGATTACACAATTGTGTTTTAAGTGACCCACTTTTCCCCAGAGTGCATCTCAGTCTAAGGATATTTCTGTGATGTATTAAAATAAATGTCCAAAAATAAGATGCAGAAAAGCTATACTTAGATTCATATGTCTTTGATGGATCACGCTGTGTTTTCTTTGCTGTAATAGATTTTCTGTTCATACCTCAATCTTCCCATCACTTCCTTAAAGTTTATCACAAACTATAAAGTGTTTTCTAGGCATGTCTTCACTGACAGGTTTCAGCAGTGGATTTTACTTTATTTACAGTTAGAAAACTGCAAGAAGCACATATAATTTTTCTTTAAACTTTCCTGATGTGTTTGTGTGCCGTACATCACACAAGATGGACGAAACTTTGTTAATCATCATGTCTCTGAGGATTTTTAAATTAACTGAACATTAAAAAACTTGTGAACAGTGTGAACCAGGTGTTAATTAGTACTTTAAAAAAATGTATGGTCAATCCGTTCTGGCAGTGGTTCCCAGTGATTGATTTGAACCTTTGGCTTTCTGATTATTAATCAATTAAATAAAGAAATAATAGACAGATTAATCACTTTGCAATGGTAGTAAAGGAGCGCTCTCAAACTAACAGTATTAGCCAATCAGAAGAAGAAGGGGGTGGGTTCTTAGGAACGCGTCTACCTCCTCCTCTCGTTTCTTGCTCAAGTCGCCAGATAGATTGTGGTACAGTGCTGAAGTTCTACACAGAAAGCCACTTTAGGCCGTTTATGGCTACATTCAATGGAGAGACTTGTAAAAATAAAAAAAAAATAAATAAATGAAACTGTGTTTGGAGAGAAGGACGATAGAGAGAACGGAATTACATGGAGTGGGCCTAATGCAGTTCATGAACTCCGGCACGCTGCGCTCCAGGAAGCTTGTTTACGTGTCCAGCGGCAAAAAGGGGCTACACAAACACGAGTTAAAATTAATTAGTTATGATTTCTTTCCTCGAAGAACACGACCGCCTAATAATTTCTGTCGGAAAAAAAATTGATTATGTTGGTGATAATCTATTATTATTTTTTTTTGTATAATTACCTCTCAAATTTGATCTTTCATCCATCCAGTTTCAACTGTACCCCCTTGCAACTACACTAAACCTCCCTTTGGGGGCGACAGGAACCACAGTACCCAGGGGTTAACGCTAATTGTTGGCATAATCAATTGTGAAATAAAGGAATCCTGTTGCCAAGTCAACATAACCTTAGGGATGCACGATATAATCGGCCCCCTATCAGTATCGGCCTTAAAACTGAATATCGGACATCGGCCACCCCACCGA